GGACAGGACGCTTTACAGACGTGTTGTTGATGAAGGACATGCTGAGCTTTTTAAGTCCTACGAATCGCCACAGCCCTTCGGGATCCACCCTCAGAGAACGACTCGACCGACAGGTAGCAGACTACCTCGCCTTAACTGCAGATATCGACACTCTGAGGAGCGATGAACCCCTTGACTACTGGGTGTGCAGGCTTGACCTGTGGCCTGAGCTATCCCAATTTGCGATAGAACTTCTGGCCTGCCCCGCTTCAAGTGTCCTGTCAGTGCAGCAGGAGGTATTGTCACTGAGAAGAGAAGTCGCCTAGGTCAAAAAAGTCTAGATTACCTCACCTTTATTAAGATAAATGAGGGATGGATCCCGACGGGACTGACAGTGGGCGATACATCCGACTAAAAAAGGCCTGATGAGATGAGCTGCCTTGGGCTCAAAATGGTCCACACGCTGCTGTATTTTAGCTCTGAATGCCGGTTGACTTGCGTGACTTATCCGCCACCAACTAGGGTTCAAGATGCAATGTTTTAGGGCAGTGCTCCCCAACCTTTTTATCGCCGCGGACCGGTAAATGTTTGATCCACGTACTGGTCCGCGGCCCGGGGGCTGGGGAACACTGTTTTAGGGCACTTTCTGCCTGGGAAACAAACATCAATTCTTCTGGCCGCTGCTGTTACAGCAGCGGCTGCAACAATACCTAATTTTTCAGGCATGTGTACATGCCTAATTTTTCGGGCCTCTGGTGCTGCACTGTAGTTTCAAAAACCAAACCAAAAAAAAGGCACATAACAGGGATTAAACTGATAAGAATAATACTACTTAACACACCTTATAATAACGCAGAGAGAGGAGTCTGAAGAAGAGGAGTCAGAGGAGGAAGGTGGCTTTGAGGAGGTGGAAGACCAAACACAGCAGGCGTCCCAGGGGGCTTGTTGTCACCTTTCGGGGACCCTTGGTGTTGTACATGGCTGGGTGGAGGCAGAGACCTTCAATGACATCAGTGAGGACATGGAACGGGACATGGCTAGCTTGGTATCCAACCTTGTGCAAATGGGGAGTTTGCGGTTGTGCAAATGGACTGTTTGCGGTTGTTTGTGGTGCGTTAAATGGGGAGTTTGGTCTGTCACTGTGAAGTGGGCATAACCCTTACACTACCTGATCGATACAACATCATACAGTAGGTCCCCCCCCTCATTATTTTTATGGCCCCCACCCACCGCTCATGGGTGGGGGCGGGCGGGAGAACAGTAGGTCCACCCCCCCATTGAGATTTATGGCCCCCACCCACCGTGCAGGGGTGGGGGCAAGGGGGGAGGACAGTAGGTCCCCCCTTATCCTTATTTACTGAATATTCCCCTGTATAACAATGTTTGGCATTTAGTGAATATTCCCTATTCTGCTCTGTGTCAGTGTGTATCAGGGATCATTAGGATAGGTGTCAATCCATATCTGCCAAGTGGCCCTATGTAGGGGGAACAGTCCCTATTCTGCTCTGTGTCAGTGTGTATCAGGGATCCTTAGGACAGGTGTCAATCCATATCTGCCAAGTGACCCTATGTAGGGGGAATAGTCTCTATTCTGCTCTGTGTCAGTGTGTATCATGGTCACTGAGGACAGGTGTCAATCCATATCTGCCAAGTGACCCTATGTAGGGGGAACAGTCCCTATTCTGCTCTGTATGAGTGTGTATCAGGGGTCCTTAGGACAGGTGTCAATCCATATCTGCCAAGTGACCCTATGTAGGGGGAACAGTCTCTATTCTGCTCTGTGTCAGTGTGTATCATGATCTCTGAGGACAGGTGTCAATCCATATCTGCCAAGTGACCCTATGTAGGGGGAACAGTCTCTATTCTGCTCTGTGTCAGTGTGTACCATGGTCTCTGAGGACAGGTGTCAATCCATATCTGCCAAGTGACCCTATGTAGGGGGAATAGTCTCTATTCTGCTCTGTGTCAGTGTGTATCAGGGGCTTTGAGGACAGGTGTCAATCCATATCTTCCAAGTGACCCTATGTAGGGGGAACAGTCTCTATTCTGCTCTGTGTCAGTGTGTATCATGGTCTCTGAGGACAGGTGTCAATCCATATCTGCCAAGGGACCCTATGTAGGGGAACAGTCTCTATTCTGCTCTGTGTCAGTGTGTATCATGATCTCTGAGGACAGGTGTCAATCCATATCTGCCAAGTGACCCTATTTAGGGATAACAGTCTCTATTCTGCTCTGTGTCAGTGTGTATCATGGTCTCTGAGGACAGGTGTCAATCCATATCTGCCAAGTGACCCTATGTAGGGGAACAGTCTCTATTCTGCTCTGTGTCAGTGTGTATCATGATCTCTGAGGACAGTTGTCAATCCATATCTGCCAAGTGACCCTATGTAGGAGGAACAGTCCCTATTCTGCTCTGTGTGATTGTGTATCAGGGATCCTTAGGACAGGTGTCAATCCATATCTGCCAAGTGACCCTATGTAGGGGGAACAGTCTCTATTCTGCTCTGTGTCAGTGTGTATCATGGTCTCTGAGGATAGGTGTCAATCCATATCTGCCAAGTGACCCTATGTAGGGGGAACAGTCCCTATTCTGCTCTGTGTCAATATGTCATATGTCAGGTATCAATCCATATCTATTGTGATTTAGGAATGTTAAGTGATTTCTGCCCTTTATGGATTAAGACCAGACTCTGCATCAACTGTGTAATTTTCCATGGGAGTTTTGCCATGGATCCCCCTCCGGCATGCTACAGTCCAGGTGTTAGTCCCCTTGAAACAACTTTTCCATCACTATTGTGGCCAGAAAGAGTCCCTGTGTGTTTTAAAATTCGCCTGCCCATTGAAGTCTATGGCGGTTCGCCCGGTTCGCCGTTTCGCGAACATTTGCGGAAGTTCACGTTCGCCATTCGCGAACCGAAAATTTCGTGTTCGCGACATCACTAGCCAGGACACTCCCTGACCTCATTCACCCAGACCAAGTAGGATTAATCCCTGGAAGAGAAGCCCGAGATAATACCATACGGGCCCTCAACTCCATCCATGTAGCACACGCCAACAAACGGGATATGGTGCTGCTCTCCACCGACGCCGAAAAGGCGTTTGATAGAGTAGACTGGACCTTCATGTTGGAGACCCTGAGACAAATGGGATACAGGCCACATCTGCACACCTGGGTGGCTGCGCTCTATACCACACCAACTGCACGCATACGAGTAAATGGAGCACTCACTAGCTCATTTAACATCTGCAATGGCACGTGCCAGGGCTGCCCCTGTCCCCACTCCTGTTTGCCCTCACCTTGGAAACCTTCCTGGAGGCGGTCAGACAGGATGGGGGTATTACGGGGTGTCGCGTAGGGGGGAGAGAGCACCGCGTGGCGGCTTATGCCGATGACATGCTCTTTTTCCTGGAGCAACCGAGAATATCCATACCAAACCTTATAGAGGCATTCCGACAATACAGCAAGGTTTCCAACCTGAAACTAAACCTGGACAAATCTGAGTTAATGCCACTCACGCGAGACGCAGCCCTCCAGGGACACATACGAACGCACTTCCCCTTCAGGATATGCATGACCAAACTACATTACCTTGGGATATGGCTCCCGAACGACCTAGCACAAACCTACCACATGAATTTTGCACCCCTGCTCGCAAACTTGCAGCAAGACATGAAGCGCTGGACATCCCAATATATATGATGGTTTGGCCGTATAAATGCCATCAAAATGAATGTTATGCCCCGAATACTATATTTGTTCCAGACGCTATCGTCAAGCATCCCGCGGAAGTTCTTTCAGTCACTAACGACAACCATCAGGCAGTTCGTGTGGAATCAGAAACCTGCGCGCATACGGAAAAGGATCCTGGAACGCCCAAGGAGCGAAGGAGGCATGGGACTGCCATCAGTCATCACATACTACCAGGCTATGCACCTGCACCGGCTGGTCGACTGGCACGCTACCCCAAGCGAGAAACAATGGGTAGATATGGAAAAACATCAGGCCCAGGGAGGTAAAATACCGGCCCTGTTGTGGCTGGGGGAAGCAACGTTGCAGGAATTGCGAACAGGCAACCCGATGATAGACGCCACGCTAAGGGTTTGGTGTAGCATACGATATTACAAAAGGCTTACGACATCGCCAAACCCACTCACACCCGTAACCAACAACCCGAAATTAGCAGGGGGGCTCTCCCTGGCCGACCTAAAGAACTTTGGGGTAACGGACTGGGTCCACCTGCACCAGTGGTGCAGCGGATCGGCACTCAAGCCCCTGGCCGTGTTGCTACAAGACTGCAGGCCAAGCTTACTTGATGAATTCCGCTACCACCAACTAAAAACTTACGTCGCCACGATCACGGGCAAGGACCACCTACATCGCCCACTATTCCACCTAGAACAACTCTGTGCGGCCAGACAACACCTGGTATAGAACCCCAGATATTCTCCGACATGTCCATGAGTCAATCCCTGGCGAGTGCTGGAGGTGCAGCGCAGAAAAAGGCTCTGGTATCCACATCTGGTGGTCTTGCCCACGCATTGAACCATATTGGTGAATGATACACCAGACGATTAAGGACATCACTGGGACAGATATCCCCCTTCAACCACTGCCGCTACTGCTGAACCACACAAGCACACCCGCGAAGGCCTATAAAAAGGGCCTCATCATACATCTACTCACGGCGGCAAAATTGCTCATTCCCACACTTTGGAAAAGCCCGGTAACACCCACCCACCAACAATGGGTGGACAGAGTGGAAATGATTTTCAGCATGGAAATGATGACGGCCTCCCTGCAGGGATGCTCGGACAAATGTGCCCTAACCTGGTTCCCATGGATGGAATACACAGAAAATGGAGCCACAAGGGATGCCCAGACTGGGAGTAGGGGCTCCCCCGCACCGGCACAACGCCCCCCGATGGACTGACGCATAGCTACAGTAAAGACCAGTTACGTATGACCCCCCACACACACAAAACTGACTAACGCTCCCCCCACCCCACTTCCCAGACCGTAGACGAACCGCGAAGATGTAACTCTCGTAGGCACCCAAGCCAAACTATATCACTACACAACACGTAGGACAAACAAAGAGCAACATGGAAGGGAGGGCGAACGACAGAGAAAGGCCAAGAAATCGCAAGGGAAACATACAGGCACCGTATCAACAGACTCAAGAGAGATAGAATGTGGTAGCAATACCAGGAGACGTGACGAGCCGAAGGACCGGATGTCGGACACAATTGCCCCCCGAGGAAGATACTTCCTCTATGCTCCTCATGCTAGTCATTACCCGCTTCTGCCTACAATAACCAGAACAAGCCACACACAGGACTTAGGACACAACAAGCAGCACAGAACCTGTCCGAGACAACCCATACTTTGTGAGCTACACACAACACACTTCTTAGACAAAGACCTACACAACACAACACACTAACGGCACCAACCGAGGAACCACTGGGACCAAGCCAGACATCCGATTGGACGGGTGACACTCCTTAGCTACTATGTAACCTGCACACAGATATGCTATTCATTGTTTTAACTGATAAAGAATAATTGGAATCTACAGTTTAAAAGCATCCATCTGTTTTTCCAAGCTTATTTTAAGCAAATTACTTCAGGAATTTTTTATTTTGTCTATTGTTGATTTCCACTAAAGGTTTTCTTGTGACTCTTTATTAGTTTGTGGGGATAAAAAGGAGGAGACTCCCTTATCTTGTTTGCGGTTCTTTTCTTGTATGTTTTTTTAATAATTCTTTATTTTTGTTGTGTTTGACATATCAAAGAGTACTTAATACACATTGGGTAGTCAAGAAGTAAGTGGTCAGAAAAAACAGCACATTTTTTGTATAAGAAAGAAACATGAAAAGAGAAACTGTCAGGCTTACTAATTGTTCCCGCACGCAGAATTGTATCACACGTAAGACTAAGGATAACATCTAACTGGACCTTAGAGTGGCCGGACTTAATGTATCCAAGAATAGTCAGAATACTTGCTGAGGTCGAGGTTAGAGAACCGAACACAGTGATGTGAAAAAGCCAAAAGTCAAGGATACCAGAAATCAGGGAAGTCAGAACGAAGCCAAAGTCAAATCCCAAAAAATCAAGATCAGGATCGGATTACCATCGGGCAGAAACCACGACAGGGCAATGAGAGAATGTAAAAATAAGTTTATATAACCGTCCTGTATAACCCTCCTGTTATTCCAATTGGCTGTAATAGGCCAATGACCCCAAAACGTGCATGCGCATGATGTCACATGCACGCTGACATCATCCTCAACGTGGGCAGTCATGGGGCTATAAGGTGGCATGGATCCGCAGTGGCCGGTGGCCCTAGACATGCTGGGTTTATCAGGAATCCGGTTGCACGGCTGTAGATGGGCACCACTATTCCTGTCAGGATGGTAAATACCATTAAATACATTACCATAAGTTGATAAATTTGTTACATTACCCCCCACCTGAAGAAGCCCACTGGGCAGGCAGGGCCTGGCTTGAGAGGAAGCCTGGCGTGGAAATAGCGGAACTTATGCCCAGCATGGATATCAGAAGCAGGAACCCAAGAGCGGCCGTCAGGTCCATACCCCTTCCAATCAACCAGATACCGCAATGAACCACAAGAGAACCTGAAATCAATCATTGAATCAATCATGCAATCAATCATGGACTACTCATATGATGAAATCTGCCATCCAGTTCATTGAAAAGTAACAGATTTTTATTTCAGTGCAACATGTTATAGTGTTACAAATTTCTACTAGATGCTGGTGGAGAATGTACACATTTTCCTCTCATTTGAAGAAATCTGCCTCTCGATCAAGTCATATCTTTGAAAATTGTATTTTTTTAAAAAACTGTTTTTTTCATCAAAATGTTTATTTTCTGCTCGCATGATGAAATCTACCATCCAATTCCTTGAAAAGTAAAATATTTTTATTTCAGTGCAACATGTTAAAGTGTTACAAATTTCTACTAGATGCTGGTGGAGAATGTACACATTTTCCTAGATACTGATGGAGAATGTACACATTTCCCTCTCATTTGAAGAAATCTTCCTCTCGATTCTAAAACAAAGAGCAGAATTTACTAATTTCTGTCGATTATGTGAGTTCTGCTAATGACCAGCAGGAGGTCGTCAAGAGAATCTTAATCAAGAAAAACAAATAAATACAGGCTTATATTATATTGGGGGGAAATCAAAAGTCAGGGAAAGTTGCCAAATTGGGGGTATAGCTCAGTGGTAGAGCATTTGACTGCACATCAACAGGACTTTGGTGCCCCCTTTAAAAATCTTGAATGTTAACATATTTTCAGAATCATGACTAACATCGAGTCCTCAATTTGAAAATTGTATTTTAAGAAAAAAAATTTTTTAATCAAAATGTTTATTTTCTACTCGTATGATGAAATCTACCATCCAGTTGATTGGAAGAAATCTGCCTCTCGATTCTAAATCAAAGAGCAGAATTGACTAATTTCTGTCAATTTTGTGAGTTCTGCTAATGACCAGCAGGAGGCCGACAAGAGAACCTAAATCAAGAAAAACAAATAAATACATTCTTATATTATATTGGGGGGCAATCAAAAGACTGTCAGACTTCCCAAATCGGGGGTATAGCTCAGTGATAGAGCATTTGACTGCACATCAAGAGTTCTCAGGTTCAAATCCAGGTGCTCCATTTAAAAATCTTTAATATAAACATATTTTCAAAATCAAGACCAACATCAAGTCATAACTTTGAAAATTATATTTTTAAAAAAAAACTTTTTTTTTCATCAAAATGTCTATTTTCTACTCGTATGATGAAATCTACCATCCAGTTCCTTGAAAAGTAAAAGATTTTTATTTCAGTGCAACATGTTATAGTGTTACAAATTTCTACTAAATGCTGGTGGAGAATGTACACATTTTCCTAGATACTGGTGGAGAATGTACACATTTCACTCTCATTTGAAGAAATCTTCCTCTCGATTCTAAAACAAAGAGCAGAGTTTACTCATTTCTGTCGATTATGTGAGTTCTGCTAATGACCAGCAGGAGGTCGTCAAGAGAATCTTAATTAAGAAAAACAAATAAATACAGTGTTATATTATATTGGGGGGAAATCAAAAGTCAGGGAAACTTGCCATATTGGGGGTATAGCTCAGTGGTAGAGCATTTGACTGCAGATCAAGAGGTCTCAGGTTCAAATCCTGCTGCCCCCTTTAAAAATCTTTAATATAAACATACTTTCAAAATCAAGACCAACATCAAGTCATAACTTTGAAAATTATATTTTTTAAAAAAAACTTTTTTTTCATCAAAATGTCTATTTTCTACTCGTATGATGAAATCTACCATCCAGTTCCTTGAAAAGTAAAAGATTTTTATTTCAACGCAACATGTTAAAGTGTTACAAATTTCTACTAGATGCTGGTGGAGAATGTACACATTTTCCTAGATACTGGTGGAGAATGTACAAATTTGCCTCTCATTTGAAGAAATCTTCCTCTCGATTCTAAAACAAAGGGCAGAATTTACTCATTTCTGTCGATTATGTGAGTTCTGCTAATGACCAGCAGGAGGTCGTCAAGAGAATCTTAATTAAGAAAAACAAATAAATACAGTCTTATATTATATTGGGGGGATATCAAAAGTCAGGGAAACTTGCCAAATTGGGGGTATAGCTCAGTGGTAGAGCATTTGACTGCCGATCAAGAGGACTCAGGTTCTAATCCTGGTGCCCACTTTAAAAATCTTTAATATAAACATACTTTCAAAATCAAGTCATAACTTTGAAAATTATATTTTTTTTTAAAAAAAAGTTTTTTTCATCAAAATGTCTATTTTCTACTCGTATGATGAAATCTACCATCCAGTTCCTTGAAAAGTAAAATATTTTTATTTCAGTGAAACATGTTAAAGTGTTACAAATTTCTACTAGATGCTGGTGGAGAATGTACACATTTTCCTAGATACTGGTGGAGAATGTACACATTTCCCGTTCATTTGAAGAAATCTTCCTCTCGATTCTAAAACAAAGAGCAGAATTTACTCATTTCTGTCGATTATGTCAGTTCTGCTAATGACCAGCAGGAGGTCGTCAAGAGAATCTTAATTAAGAAAAACAAATAAATACAGTTTTATATTATATTGGGGGGATATCAAAAGTCAGGAAAACTTGCCAAATTGCGGGTATAGCTCAGTGGTAGAGCATTTGACTGCAGATCAAGAGGTCTCAGGTTCAAATACTGGTGCCCCCTTTAAAAATCTTTAATATAAACAAATTTTCAAAATCAAGACCAACATCAAGTCATAACTTTGAAAATTGAATTTTTAAAAAAAAACAAAACATTTTTTTCATCAAAATATCTATTTTCTACTCGTATGATGAAATCTTCCATCCAGTTCCTTGAAAAGTAAAAGATTTTTATTTCAGTGCAACATGTTAAAGTGTTACAAATTTCTGCTAGATGCTGGTGGAGAATGTACACATTTTCCTAGATACTGGTGGAGAATGTACACATTTCCCTCTCATTTGAAGAAATCTTCCTCTTGATTCTAAAACAAAGAGCAGAATTTACTCATTTCTGTCGATTATGTGAGTTCTGCTAATGACCAGCAGGAGGTCGTCAAGAGAATCTTAATTAAGAAAATCAAATAAATAGGGTCTTATATTATATTGGGGGGCAATCAAAAGACTGTCAGACTTCCCAAATTGGGGGTATAGCTCAGTGGTAGAGCATTTGACTGCAGATCAAGAGGTCTCAGGTTCAAATCCTGGTGCCCCCTTTAAAAATCTTTAATTTAAACATATTTTCAAAATCAAGACCAACATCAAGTCATAACTTTGAAAATTGAATTTTTAAAAAAAAACAAAACATTTTTTTCATCAAAATGTCTATTTTCTACTCGTATGATGAAATCTACCATCGAGTTCCTTGAAAAGTAAAAGATTTTTATTTCAGCGCAACATGTTAAAGTGTTACAAATTTCTACTAGATGCTGGTGGAGAATGTACACATTTTCCTAGATAATGGTGGAGAATGTACACATTTCCCTCTTATTTGAAGAAATCTTCCTCTCGATTCTAAAACAAAGAGCAGAATTTACTCATTTCTGTCGATTATGTGAGTTCTGCTAATGACCAGCATGAGGTCGTCAAGAGAATCTTAATTAAGAAACACAAATAAATACAGTCTTATATTATATTGGGGGGAAAACAAAAGTCAGGGAAACTTGCCAAATTGGGGGTATAGCTCAGTGGTAGAGCATTTGACTGCAGATCAAGAGGTCTCAGGTTCAAATCCTGGTGCCCCCTTTAATATAAACATGTTTTCAAAATCAAGACCAACATCAAGTCATAACTTTGAAAATTGAATTTAAAAAAAAATAAAAAAAATTTCATCAAAATTTCTATTTTCTACTCGCATGATGAAATCTACCATCCAGTTCCTTGAAAAGTAAAAGATTTTTATTTCAACGCAACATGTTAAAGTGTTACAAATTTCTACTAGATGCTGGTGGAGAATGTACACATTTTCCTAGATACTGGTGGAGAATGTACACATTTCCCTCTCATTTGAAGAAATCTTCCTCTCGATTCTAAAACAAAGAGCAGAATTTACTCATTTCTGTCGATTATGTGAGTTCTGCTAATGACCAGCAGGAGGTCGTCAAGAGAATCTTAATTAAGAAAAACAAATAAATACAGTCTTATATTATATTGGGGGGATATCAAAAGTCAGGGAAACTTGCCAAATTGGGGGTATAGCTCAGTGGTAGAGCATTTGACTGCAGATCAAGAGGTCTCAGGTTCAAATCCTGGTGCCCCTTTTAAAAATCTTTAATATAAACATATTTTCAAAATCAAGACCAACATCAAGTCATAACTTTGAAAATTATATTTTTTTTAAAAAACTTTTTTTTCATCAAAATGTCTATTTTCTACTCGTATGATGAAATCTACCATCCAGTTCCTTGAAAAGTAAAAGATTTTTATTTCAACGCAACATGTTAAAGTGTTACAAATTTCTACTAGATGCTGGTGGAGAATGTACACATTTTCCTAGATAATGGTGGAGAATGTACACATTTCCCTCTTATTTGAAGAAATCTTCCTCTCGATTCTAAAACAAAGAGCAGAATTTACTCATTTCTGTCGATTATGTCAGTTCTGCTAATGACCAGCAGGAGGTCGTCAAGAGAATCTTAATTAAGAAAAACAAATAAATACAGTTTTATATTATATTGGAGGGATATCAAAAGTCAGGGAAACTTGCCAAATTGTGAGTATAGCTCAGTGGTAGAGCATTTGACTGCAAATCAAGAGGTCTCAGGTTCAAATCCTGGTCCCCTCTTTAAAAATCTTTAATATAAACATATTTTCAAAATCAAGACCAACATCAAGTCATAACTTTGAAAATTGAATTAAAAAAAAAAAACATTTTTCATCAAAATGTCTATTTTCTACTCGTATGATGAAATCTACCATCAAGTTCCTTGAAAAGTAAAAGATTTTTATTTCAGCGCAACATGTTAAAGTGTTACAAATTTCTACTAGATGCTGGTGGAGAATGTACACATTTTCCTAGATAATGGTGGAGAATGTACACATTTCCCTCTTATTTGAAGAAATCTTCCTCTCGATTCTAAAACAAAGAGCAGAATTTACTCATTTCTGTCGATTATGTGAGTTCTGCTAATGACCAGCAGGAGGTCGTCAAGAGAATCTTAATTAAGAAACACAAATAAATACAGTCTTATATTATATTGGGGGGAAAACAAAAGTCAGAGAAACTTGCCAAATTGGGGGTATAGCTCAGTGATTGAGCATTTGACTGCAGATCAAGAGGTCTCAGGTTCAAATCCTGGTGCCCCCTTTAAGAATCTTTCATATAAACATATTTTCAAAATCAAGACCAACATCAAGTCATAACTTTGAAAATTGAATTTTAAAAAAAATAAAAAAAATTTCATCAAAATTTCTATTTTCTACTCGTATGATGAAATCTACCATCCAGTTCCTTGAAAATTAAAAGATTTTTATTTCAACGCAACATGTTAAAGTGTTACAAATTTCTACTAGATGCTGGTGGAGAATGTACACATTTTCCTAGATACTGGTGGAGAATGTACACATTTCCCTCTCATTTGAAGAAATCTTCCTCTCGATTCTAAAACAAAGAGCAGAATTTACTCATTTCTGTCGATAATGTGAGTTCTGCTAATGACCAGCAGGAGGTCGTCAAGAGAATCTTAATTAAGAAAAACAAACAAATACAGTCTTATATTATATTGGGGGGAAATCAAAAGTCAGGGAAACTTGCCAAATTGGGGGTATAGCTCAGTGGTAGAGCATTTGACTGCAGATCAAGAGGTCTCAGGTTCAAATCCTGGTGCCCCCTTTAAAATTTTTTTATATAAACATATTTTCAAGACCAACATCAAGTCATAACTTTGAAAATTTAATTTAAAAAAAAAAAAAAATTTCATCAAAATTTCTATTTTCTACTCGTATGATGAAATTTACCATCCAGTTCCTTGAAAAGTAAAAGATTTTTATTTCAGTGCAACATGTTAAAGTGTTACAAATTTCTACTAGATGCTGGTGGAGAATGTACACATTTTCCTAGATACTGGTGGAGAATGTACACATTTCCCTCTCATTTGAAGAAATCTTCCTCTCGATTCTAAAACAAAGAGCAGAATTTACTCATTTCTGTCGATTATGTGAGTTCTGCTAATGACCAGCAGGAGGTCGTCAAGAGAATCTTAATTAAGAAAAACAAATAAATACAGTCTTATATTATATTGGGGGGAAATCAAAAGTCAGGGAAACTTGCCAAATTGGGGGTATAGCTCAGTGGTAGAGCATTTGACTGCAGATCAAGAGGTCTCAGGTTCAAATCCTGGTGCCCCCTTTAAAAATCTTTAATATGAACAAATTTTCAAAATCAAGACCAACATCAAGTCATAACTTTGAAAATTGAATTTTTAAAAAAAAAAACCATTTTTTTCATCAAAATATTTATTTTCTACTCGTATGATGAAATCTACCATCCAGTTCCTTGAAAAGTAAAAGATTTTTATTTCAGTGCAACATGTTAAAGTTTTACAAATTTCTACTAGATGCTGGTGGAGAATGTACACATTTTCCTAGATACTGGTGGAGAATGTACACATTTCCCTCTCATTTGAAGAAATCTTCCTCTCGATTCTAAAACAAAGAGCAGAATTTACTCATTTCTGTCGATTATGTGAGTTCTGCTAATGACCAGCAGGAGGTCGTCAAGAGAATCTTAATTAAGAAAAACAAACAAATACAGTCTTATATTATATTGGGGGGAAATCAAAAGTCATGGAAATTTGCCAAATTGGGGGTATAGCTCAGTGGTAGAGCATTTGACTGCAGATCAAGAGGTCTCAGGTTCAAATCTTGGTGCCCCCGTTTAAAAATCTTTAATATAAACATATTTTCAAGACCAACATCAAGTCATAACTTTGAAAATTTAATTTAAAAAAAACAAAAAAAATTTTCATCAAAATTTCTATTTTCTACTCGTATGATGAAATCTACCATCCAGTTCCTTGAAAAGTAAAAGATTTTTATTTCAGCGCAACATGTTAAAGTGTTACAAATTTCTACTAGATGCTGGTGGAGAATGTACACATTTTCCTAGATAATGGTGGAGAATGTACACATTTCCCTCTTATTTAAAGAAATCTTCCTCTCGATTCTAAAACAAA